TGATTTATCGTTGACTTTGTTGTTGTTATTGTGACTCCTAATCAGAATATTTGCTACATTCTTTAATTCATTGAACGTATGACAATATTTTCGCAATGTTTCACGATGAGCTAGTCGTAATAATGTAGTATACAAAAAGGGACGGATTGACAGTAATCGAGATTTTGAAATACGTAAACATATGAAATACTTAAACAACTTAAAGATTTTTAATTGACTTCATGGGAAGTTAATTATGCTCACAAATTGTCTAATAGATAGGAATAAAAATATATAAGTTTGATGATAATTCATAATTTCTTTAACCCTTAATTCGACGAAATTTTTTTAAGAAAAAAAAAAAACTGTTTTATTAGTAATGTCATATTTTTCGATACGAAATAAGTACAGGAAAAATGCTAAAAAAAATTAGTTGTTCGTCACACTGGACACCATCGAATTAAGGGTTAAACGTATGTTTTGGAATAGAAAGAAGCATAATTCAAAACTTACATAGGTATTAAAGTTGGACGTAACATCAAAAGGTTTCTGAAGAAGTCAATTGCCTTTTTTTTAAATATTTTTAGTCTATTTTTTTTTGAATAATTTACTATGTTTCATAATGTTATAAATGAATAAGCGATGCTATCACGCACTATTTTAAATTGCACTTCGTTTTATTCGCTTCATTAAACATTTTACTTATGAGTTTAAAGAAATTACTTTTATTTTGCTACAAAGTATCGTAATAAATGGGAAAAAAACTTTATTATTGTAATTCGATGTGAATTTATGAGCATTATATTGTTTGTTTTATAAATTAATTAATATTACAACAATTAAAAAAACAATTAATCGTGATGTCAACGTACTTATAATTTTGCTGTAAATAAGAAATAGTTTCTTTACGTAATTTTTAATGTTCCTAGGAAATATTTTATCACAAACTAGGAATTGCCCACGACTTCGTCCGCGCGGAATAAAAACAACATGAGGAAATTAAAAATTATATAGCCTATAGCAACCTATCATCTTAGGGTAGGCTCCGAGCCCCTCGGTTGGGACGTATAGTGAGCTGATGATGAATGAATGATAGCAACTGGGAATAGTGTAGCTTTCAAACGGTGAAAAATATTTTTAAATCGTTTCGGTAGTTTCGGAGCCAGTTTAATACAAACAAACAAAACTTTTCTCTTTACTATGTTTGTTTAGATAATTACTTAATATCCAGTTTTATCTACAATTTTTTTGGGTCTGGTAATAGTTTTTTGGTATATCGTTCGTGTGTCGGGAGCCTAAGTTGTCGCGGGTCAATGGCCATAATGTTCGCTCCCTGTTGTGCCAGGTCAGCACTCACGAGGTATTAGGGCGCACGGGCGACGAACTTAGAGTATACAAAAATGGACCTGGTAAAGAACCGCCCGTTGTACTAAATAAATTATGCAACTTCGCGGGGATTGACGTAAAGATGATCATACGAGTGCATATTACACAATTTTTTTTATGAACGCACGATGATTAGTAATTGTTATTTGTATGACAAAAACATACACAAAACGAGCATACGGTCAAGTTTATAACTTAGAGTTAATTTTTAATGACGGGCAAGAAAATACTTGAGCTCGGCTAGTCCTGTCATTTAATAGTCAAATGCAACAGACGACGGGTGCGCCCAATCGATATGCACTCAGTCTCTTTAAAGTTATGAGTAACGGTCACACTGTTACTGTCAAATTATGTTGCTCAATTTTGCGAATAAATCAGCTCATTTTTTAATAATAAGGAGTATGTTGTTATTTTAAGGCGCACAATATTATAATATCTTACTAATATTATAAATGTGAATGTTGTTTGTTTGAAGGTATCTCGAGAACAGCTGAAATTTGGCATACATATAGAACATAGTGTGGAAGAACACATAGGCTACTATGTTTTTTTAATTCCTCGCAGTCGAAGTCTCGGTTGACAGCTAGTTATTAAATAAATTTCAATGTAATTTTGGATAAAATAAATAAAGTTATATTACATTTGGCTTCCTCTATGCGAAGTACCAGAAAGATCAGTTGATGTTAACCTTGAGTCGAAAATATTTTTTGATAACTTGTCAATGTCAAACTCGTGATTTGATAGTAGATAAGATTGTTTATCTTATTTTAGAAGAGAATAAAATGGTCAATAAGAATGACGTAAAAAAATGTGTCTAAATAACCTACAAATGTAAAAAAGGACGTAATACCGTTTGGCACGTTCTTGGCATACTTTTCTATATGCATATGCATATTTGCATAACCATCAGGTATGGCTATTGATAACTGTTGGCCTTCATTGCAGTTTTGAAAAGGAAACCCTCGTTATCATAAATGTATAACATATTTTTGCAACTTATCCCAGTTACTAACTTATACTAGATCTTTGTTCCACTTGTTCAAAGGAATACTAACAATATAGATCTTTGTAAACAGTTCTAGAACCTTCCTGCGTCATTGAAGAAAAAGACACATATTTTATGGAATCGTAAGACTAGCCGTCTCCCACGACTCCGTCCGCACGGTATTAAAAAAACGTGTTCTTCCAGAGTATGTTCTACATCTATGCCAAATTTCAGCAAGATCCATGCGGCCGTTCTATAGATACCTTCAAACAAACAAACATCTATCTAAACATTCGCATTTATTATATTAGTAAGAAGTAAGATTTATTAGAATTTAAATTCTTTCAATATCTGATCAAATACGATATCTATTTCTCGTCATTACAATATTGTAATATGAAGCAGGAAATGCCTACATCGTGTATTGAGGTTTGACTTGCAAAATGTTAGGTCACCAGATCGTCGACCGCGGCGCAATCTCTGAACCATTTCATAAGATACGTGCCGTTTAAGTGGTTAACAAGCTGCAGTTTGTCCATAGATCATACAATGCATTTAACCGTGAGTTTTCACTGCAGAAAGTTTTTTCAGATCAGACTTAAGTACTAGGTGTCACCCGCGACTCTGTCCGCGGGAAATTTAAATAAAATAGGCTGTTCCAAATTACAATCTGATCCGTTAAGCAGTCTGCAATTACGTGATAACAAACATCCATACACCCAAACTTTTGCATTTAATCTTACTTTTAATTGTTTAAATTTTTTTCTATTTTAAAATGTTCAATGAACATTACCAATAATTTAAAGCGATGAAAGATGCTGTTCATACAGATTAAGACGACGCTGCTGATAAGAACCGCATCGAAATTGGACCTTGTCCCATCTTCAGAGATAAAAGTTGAACTAATGACGTCAAATTATCACTAAATCAATAAGTTTGTATTGAAAAATTAAAAAAAAAACGGGAAGATAGTTAAGATATGATATCAGGGTTGTAACATAAGTAAACTACGATATACTGACAAATACAATAGAATAATATGGCGAAACAATTGCGAATAATTTTAACACAAACATTTTCATAATATGAATGCCTATATATTTGTAATAATGCTTAAATTTATAAGAACTTATGAATTATGGTTTTTACTAGTTTTACATTGTTTATTAGTAATAAAGGATTTTAGCTTTGTTACAATGAAAAACGCACAATACGTTATTTAGTATGAGGATGACGCATATTTATTCACGAAGGGTTATTACGGAAGGAAGGATTTTAGTACGAGTCACATGCACGCAAAATTATTAGAACATAGAAGTAATTTTATTGTTTAAAATTTAGTTTATTTAATTAGGAATTTCCTAGTAATGAGATGAAGAAGAATTTATGTACAAAGTATTTGTGTTCGTATTATTTTAGTTTTCTTTTCTCAACCTGTCATCATCCTTCGAAAGTCGACCGTATACCTTATAGGAAATCTTTGTGATATAATTCTTTACAATCATCGCTTTGTCTTTACGATAAATAAAATATTATAGTTCTTAGATATATATAGTTTAATAAGTACATACATTCTGTTTTTAAAGTCTCCAACGATAAACAACTGACAAGATACGCCCATGATAAATTCGAACTCCGTATATTCAATTGATGCAATTGAACTAATGACGTCAATTGATCTATTACTCTTTGTACGCAGATAAAAAATATTACGCTTCTCGCATCTGTTATGTGATAGTACTTTAGAATTTTTATTGAAAATCCTAAAATAAAATTTGAAAGAGACGTATAGAGCCTGACAAGTATAACATTCTGCGTAACCTACGCGTGTTTACTCTATTCCATGAAAGATTGTTTCTATTTCAAACTTTTGCGAAGAAAATTGTATTGAAATATGTCATTGCGTGACAATGTGGCGATGGTACTGGCAGGTAACGTAAGTCGCGCTTCATTCGTTCTACAAATACTTTTGTTTTTTAAATAGTTATGTAGATATTGAGGGACTACGGTTCTTGTACGAAACGCAAACCAAAGAAGTTCTTCATATGTTGCTAGAGATTTAAACTGTGACAGGGCAGGGGACTGACAAAATACATCTCGTATTTTTATGAAAAGGATCTATTGTATTAAAATATAGTGAAGGTTTAATTTATTCTTCTATGAAAAAGTGTCAGTGGTCTATGCAATAATTTTGCGTTTACCTACAAATTGATTTTTAATTACTATTGCTACCAGATATAAGTACATGTAAGCTGCTGTGCCAATGATTCAAATAAGGATAACTACATTTGTATGTGTACCAGCTACCAGGACAATTGACGTCAGTACACCGAACTGTGACGCCCACAGACACCGCATTAAATTTAAAAAAAACTATTATAATAATTATTACCTACGTATAATTTCATTTTTTTAATAAACGGAGATGGTTTTAATAAAAAATTATACTTATTAAAATAGTAACCTCTTTAGATATATGTTGTTGACGTATATGAACATGGCAATTGATATTTCAACGAACAAAGTCAACAGTTGGGTTTTAAATAACCATTCTTTTATCGTAATAGATTTTAGTTCTGGAACTAATTATTATTGAAGTTGTCTAATTATGTCTTAAGTTAATTTAAATTAAACAAAAGTATATTCTCACTTGGTCAGATAAATTGTCACACCATTGATGAGCAGCTGTCTTCTTGCCTCCGTTCACCCCGTTTGTGAGATGTGGCGTGAGGGGTGTCCCAGTGAACAAGTCCTCAGTGATACTTATGTCAGAGGTGATACGACCTCGTGTCACCGGCGGCGGCCCCTGAGGGCCCACGAAGTCAAATTGTCCATCCCACATGTCATATTCCAAGTCCAAACTGTCTTCCACTTCAATAGATTCCCCCATTGTCCCTTTCGAACGGTTAAATAAGCCCGATTTAAACATTCAAGCGATAGAAAAATTACTTTCGTCAAAAATGTTATCACTCTTTGGATTATTCCGGTATTGCACTTATGTAACTAAAATTAAGCCTAACTATGTAATCGATGACTAATTTAAATTTTTTTTAACTAAAATTAGATCGATCGCGATAAAGCTCAGTCTTTCAATGGCACACTGGATCAACTTATGATAAGGAAAGTAAAGGTCCTCAGATATCACTTTCGAACACTGTTTAAATTCACGTATTGACTTCTCGAGAAAGTAAACCATTAAGTCACATTTTCTTCGTAAACGATTTCACGAAAATACTTCTCTATGAACACGATCTTGAATTCACATTTCAATAATGGCACGAGTTTGTTTTTAATTACCATCATACACTAGTATAAGTATCAAATACAATGTAAAAAAACTTCGACGTCGAAGTTTATTTGAAACTTTTACCGGTTGCACTATCATCGTTTTTGGGGTCGATATTAGCGTTGTTATGCACTCGAATTGTTCCGTCTATCAAACAATCATTTGTGGAACTAGACTTAGCAGACGTGCGATCAAGTCAATACCGCGTATCGTACTGCGCGGGGCTGCGGACGGACGCCAGCGCGCCCCACTAGAGGGCATTATTATCAAGCTGCCAACGTCGCGGCGCATTCAAATTAACTTTATTCGCTCCCCGCATATGCACGGCCGGCTGATAGTTAGGAGGCAATAACCCCAGCTCGGTCCCCTCGGTCTGGATCCATCTCACACAATAAAACGGGTGAGGGGTCGCCACATTTGATATAACCATCGGATTGTACATCAGAATTATTGAAACGGTGATATAATAAGTAGACTATTGCCGTCAGCTCATATCAACATAGATGAGGTCGAACCTATCCTAAAAGACAATTCATAGTGTGATGTTATGGTCACCTTTAAACTTTAAGTCACCAAGATTTTAAGACATTTTTAAATAATAATATATACAGAATTTTTAAGTAACTTTAATGTTTTTAAATATTACTATCGGTATATATTCGAATAAATAACGTAATAGGCGCGAAAGTTTAACTTTCAACAAACAAAAACATATTCTATCATAGACGTGAATTACATAAAGTCTATGGTGTGTTACGTCTTTTAATTTAACTATTAAAATCCTATCAAGACGTTAATAAAAAGCGATGTAATGAGTTTGAAAAAAAAAGCATCGCGAGATAAGAAATGGCGTCATATAATCCACCATCGAAATTGGATTCTTTGTTCATGAGACCGTGTGAAATACAAGCCTGTATTGAAAACGTTCGCAATGCGGGCCTCATTGACGGATTGCTTGAGCAATGTGTAATTAAATCCCTTCTAAAACCTATTGATATGCTCCATGCGTTTGCAGATAGGCATATTATGAATGAATTCGTATATATCATCTGTTGCATAAATAAAAAAAACCGGGAAGTACGAGTTAAAATCCAACATCCTAGTCCCACAAAAGTATCTATTGTTCACAGGAATAATTTAAAGGTTTTTATTTCAGTTTGCTGTCAAGTTGTATATGATACATGCCACATGGCCCGTATCAATGGCATTCACCTTTATCATTAATGGCTGCTTAATGAATGCAGACCGAAATAGACAGCGACGTTTAAGTGGTTTAAAATGTAGTGGAAAAGAGTGTAACTTCATTTTTGTATTTTCAGTCAAGAATATTTTCTAATTGTATAAAGAGTTCTTAATAATTGTGACTTCGAAAAATAAGTCTTTTTTTAATTTTATAGTATGTTTATTTCACTTACACAACTTTGGTATGTGACAAGTTTTTGACAAAAGAGGGTATACGTTTCAATGGAGGGCCAGTGCTGTAAAGAATTTTTCCCTTTCTCCACTTATATGTCTTTAAAAGGACTTTCTATAGAAAGTGACAGGTTATTTTTATAATTATATAAATCGGTTTACTGTAGGGTTAATAGTATTATTGTGACTATATATTACATAACAATTAAATTATGTTCTCAAATAACAATCTAAAAACATCGACCAACTATTTCTTACTGTCGTGTTTACGAACTATTTGATATTAGCTTCATTACTAAAATTAAAAAAAAATCTTTGCAATAAATATGAAGGAATTTTATAGTCTTGTCGATGACGTCACGTTTTATACGTATTTTATAGTATTTGCGCACGCGAGGTGGGTTTTCTAAATTTCCGTTCCCTTAGCCGTGGCTAATGGGATTAGGGGGTGGCTACAGCTTTGTAAGGGTTGGTTTTATCATCGTATATATGTTATTGTAACCGTTAGTCGAATGTGAAAATTGCTGTGATTCATAATTTCAAAACATACGATCTGCTGTATTTCCTACAGTTGTTTTTATCTTGACATTTCCAGCTACTTTTATGAATCTAGCCAGTTATTACAATGATATTAAATAAAGAAATCCTGCCTTGGCCTGAAATCGACTCGAGGACTTTACAACGAGTTAATACTATTACTACTAAGTTCACGAGGTCTTACTAAATATAAAAATATAACTATGGAAGAAACACAACGCAAAGAGAAAGATCGTAACATAACCTAATTACCATATCTAATCTAGTTCCCCACTTTAATAGCTAGACGCCACATGTCGCGTTTTGCATACTAAAAATATTTTTTCTAAGTAGTGTCAGGATGTCTGTTAATGTGGCAGTGTATTGATCCAACACTAGCTTTACTAAAATGTCGACGTTTATGTCCCCTCACTATTCATTCTGACACAGGACTTTGTAACGAAAGCACATCATTCGCGCCAAAGCATTCTTATTAATAATGTCTAAAGGTAGTTAAATATAATTATACATATATCTTTGTTACTACTGAGCTAAAACTATTATGTAGTATTTATTTAGAGAGAAAGAAGATAAAACTTCATCTGTTGTTCCAGCCAAAGAAAGCATGGGTGAACTGTCTTGCAAAGCGACTTTGGCACTTTGGTAAACCCCGAAATTTTGCTACAAAAGTTTGTCAATATTTATTTTCAAGGTCTATTAGTCATATCGGGATGTAGCTGATAAAAAAATATAATTACTGTACAAATTTACCAAAAAAAGATAAAGCAGTTCATTTTAAACTCATCTTATATCTCATTTTATCGTTGATATCTCCTAAAGTAGCAGATAATTTTAATCTCCGCATTGTGCTAATCTTTTCACTATTCGCGTCAACAATTGCAGGAAGCAAGAAACTACACAACACAACAAAATTGACAACAATGTATACTTATGTTAATGTAGTTGAAACCTATAGTAAAACGAGTCTTAACATTATAATTAACTTATTTTTCTATTACGACTTATGGAGTAACAGAAGTGTTTTCTAGAATACTTTTCTTATTAACGTAATATTAAAAAAAACTTTAATCCAATTAAAGAGGTCGCATCAGTTAAGTTGATTAGTGTTCTGACTTCTCTGTATGTTGTTGCGATGAGAAGGTCAACTGAAGATTGTAATGTTTTATTATATTTTATACTGTAAAATAATTTTACTAATATTATAAATGTGAAACTGATGAATGTATGTTTGTAAGTAGGTGCTATGGATTTCTCTGAACATTATCTGGAAGAATACATAGGCTACTAATTAAGTTTTTTTTAAATTCTGTTCAAACGGAATCGCGGGCGACAGCTAGTATAAGCTATATTTAATAGCCTTTGTTACTCAGGGATAATGTAAGATTCCATTAGTGTAATATTTTATTTAATCGGATCAGTAGTTTTTGAGTTTATTCGTAACAAACATACAATAATACAAAAGTTTCTTAGTTAAACGCGTTTTGTTTTATACTTGTACTTTCTTAATAATAAATGGACAATTCAATTAAACATTTATCTTATTCTGTAGCTTCTAGTAGTAAAATTTACATATAAAAGATATATTGTATATAATATAGGTAGGTTTATTAGCTGTAAAATTTCTCCTTGTTAGGTGTCGACAATATATCATTTTAAATTAATTGCTTTTACTGGCATATACTTGCTGAAATGTAAATTGTCAATTAATCTTATATAACTTTGAGAAAATTTACAATGCAAGTTGTTTATAATGCTTATATAATATATAGAAATTATCATTGATATGTTACGTCGATTACGTTATAAAGGAGAACCAATATTTTAGCCATTTACTTAACTTTTTAAAACCTGTGAGACTAACAAAAAAGTATTAAGTGTATAGGTATTACTACGAAATTATAATTTTTAGGGTTCCGTACCTCTAAGGATAAAAAAATGAAATCCTTATACTCGGGTCTAGTGTCTTGCAGCCGTGATTAAAATCAAGCTTCTAAGCAAACGCAATCAAAAGATACAGCCAGAAATTACCGCAAATTTTGGATACTCGCAAGGAAATCAAAACCTACAGGGTAATTCTTGTGAATTCACCCGTCTCAAATTTTACTTGATTACAGATAGGTTTGTACGGAATAATCGGTGCGTAAGTTCGAGTCGCACTTGTCTGATTTTTTTGTAGACCGAGCTTTATAAGACAACTCACAGATTCCTTTGATATTAAGGATATTAAAGCAAAACATTGGATACATGTTAGGATATGAATTCTAGTCATGTCTGTCGATAAGAAAAAGTTGTAAATGATTTCCCATGTTGTAGTGATCAAGTCGCGTTAATAGAATCAGGGTTACATTGCGGAAGTCAATTAACTTTGTATGTACGTGTATTGATGCGCATACACTTTGTACGACATGTTATGTTTTTGTTCAGTTACATCTGATTACCATAACTTATACATTCACCAATTTATATATCTACATATACAAGATTTTTGTTCTTATAAATTCGTTTACTATAAGGATGCTACATAAATCCTAAGGATGCTATTAAAGGCTATGTAAATGTTGTATAATGTTTTAAAAATTGCCAACCCTTGAAAAGTCAATACCGCTAGTGATATTACTTTCTATAAAATCAATCAAAAGCCGAGTGAAACTTTTAATCGTTTTTAACTTTATTTATTCTTATTAAGGTACGATTTTTGCTTAACAAAGTAAATATTAATCATACGGGGGACTGCGGAAATCCATTAGCGTCGCACATAGGAAGTAAAACAAAATCGCAGGCGCTTCTTGCTTACCATAAGACATGGAAAGTTGTTCGCGGCTTATTAATATAGCTACTAATATATAATTTAATATCCCTGATGAAATGACGAAGATAGATCGATCTGGAGGAAGAAAACTCAGTGCTCCAACCCACATGAGTAAGATAAGGACAGGGAAGTGATGATCACATGTTAATTTTCTAACATTGGGAATTTCCAGCCAGCTATATATTAATATATCCGACGCTCATGGACATCCACAACACCAGAGAACTGCCGGCCTTTAAGGAAATTGTATGCTCTTTTCTCAAACGTCGATAAGTCGTAACAGTAAGTTAGAAGGGTGCAAGAATATCTTTAATGGTCAAAATACAGGATGGTCTGTTATGCTTTTTATTTTACATTTATATCCAAACCTATATCTCATTATCAGTTCACTATACGTCTCCACTGAGGGGCTATGCGCCTACCCTAAGTTAGAGTTGACTAGGCCATAGTCAACAACGGCGGCCTTGTGCCGGTTGGTCGA